TATATATATATATAGTAGTGATATTTCTTAAGTTTTGATGATTTTCCTGCTTGTAACTATATTTCTGTGGTTCTACCCAGGACTGGGTTTTGGCCCCCACTGGATATTCAGCTTACTACTGTGATGGAGAGTGTTTCTATCCTCTGGGCTCCTGCATGAACGCCACAAACCACGCCCTCATCCAGCAAGTGGTCAGTACGGTCATGACTCTCATCCCACAACACTTATCACATCCTGAACCCTACGATAAGTAAACTCCTTTTATGACTGTCTGGACTTCCATACCAACATGCTATTTAGTATGTCCGAAACCTTAGTACGTGGATTTCCTACTATTAACTGTGATATTTTACTAACATTAACACTGGACACTACGCCAGCATCAATATCCCATAATGCAATCAACGTTCATAATGGATAAATGCGCACAGCTCTAACAGCTAATTCACTTAAATTTAAGCATATGGATATGATTTCACTTTGAGACGTAATCTAGTTCCTAAATGAGTTCAGACCCCGTGAATATTAATTATGAACTGTTCACTCTGCAGGTCCACCTCCTGAAGCCTGACGAGGTTCCGAAGGCATGTTGCGCCCCTACCAAGCTCAGCCCCATCTCCGTCCTGTTCTACGACGACAACAACAACGTCATCCTCAAAAAACACCGTAACATGGTGGTTAAGACATGTGGCTGTCTATGAGAGCCACACAGGTTCCACTTTGACACTGAAGAGTCCTAAACCAAACAAAATGTACATGATGGGGTTTTCTACACAGACATTAACTCTGCCAACGTAAAAGGTTTCTGCTAACAAGTTGAACGATGGCACTAGAAATCTAATTTAACGTGATTGTTTTGAGTTCTGATTCAGGAGCAGTGACTTCAGTCTTTAATCAATTTTCAAATACAGTATTGTCTGTGTCTTGGGTGTTTATGTCCACATTGTCAGCTGGGCCTTTTTATTGAATATCTGAGGTATTTGTTTTTAACAACTTTTCCCCAAACTACCGTACATGCCTTTCTTATGCAGCTGTAGTCTCCATAGAACTGTAGATTGGATGGTGAAACATGCCATTAGTGGTGCTGGTTGTTTTTACTGTAACACAATGTCTATATGAAGAGAAAATTGTATTGAATTAATAAAACAATATTAACATTATCTTGACTTATGGTCATAGTTTTTAAAGGACTAAAACCCTAATAGCTCACTGTAAATATAATATCACTGCAGGTTAGTTAAGTGGACTCTATCAAAGCATTTGAAAATGTCTCCTCAGGTGTCAAGAGTATTGACTATGCTTGCACTAGTCAGCATTTTATTAAGTATTATACTTAAAGTAGTTCAACCTAGGGCTGGGCGGTATGACCAAAAATGCATAGCACGGTATTTTGTAAGATTCTGGCGATATCACGGTATTTTTTTTCCGCGTTAAAGCATTAATTAATTAACGCCGAAAAGAACCGGCCAGCGAGCGGTGAACAGCTGTTTGTGTGGCGTGTCTTCCGTTCTGTCACTTCCTATTTCCTTCACCTACATTCCCCTGGGACCTAAGTCCCTCCAGGTACAGCTTCTTATCAGTCTATGTACCAACGTACAATTATAACAAATACCACACATTACGGTAATCAGCGTTGCATATGTCTGACCAAAATACCTTTTGTTCAGTCTTTGTTCATCCTGCATCGCTCTTTTCTGTAACGTTACTGGAGCGACAGAGCCTCTCCCAGCTGTTAGCGAGCTTTACCCAGCATGCAGTTTGGCGGAGAAATTTTATAAATGTACAATTATTAGTGTTATAAATTGTGTCACAAACTGTTGTCGTGGTGTTTTACTCTGTTAAATAGCGTTAGTTGTGGGTTGTTAATTGTTATAAAGTTACAACCAAGACTAGGGTTCCCTCTCAATACACTTAAGTCAACTAGCTCCGACCGTAGCGTGCTCAGCGGACAACAGTATATTTTGCTGCCTGTTGAAGAGCAACAGAAGTTGTTTCGGCTGTGCACCGACCGATGACTGTATATGAAAAATTCTTATAGGGGAAATTAAAACCGGTATACCGCCCAGCCCTAGTTCCACCTCCAACAGCTGCAACAGTAAAGAGATGAACATATCAGTCAGTAATTATAATCCAATGGACATTCTGCAGAGCACCAAGTATATTTTGATGTCAATACTTGTTTTTGAATGCAGGACTTTACATTGTGCTCTAGTAAATCATTTTATGACGTGGTCATTGTGTAGCTGTTATATGAATGTGATGATACTGCAAAAAAAGACAGTCATAATAAACGAGGCGAGGTCTGAGCTCAATGGTTAATGTGTTGCTGCAGACTGGGAGTCCTGGTGGACACATTTAATCATTACATCTTTCATCTCAACATGTACACAATCCACTGAGAAAACCAGTAACATTATTTACATTGTTCAATTTATTGAAAAGGGTTAAAAAAAAAAAAAGTACAGTGAAAGGAAATTTGTGTTTCTGCTGTTTTTTGGCAGTTAATGAACATTTCTTTAACTCAATCATTTGGGCCAATTACAGTTTCTTCAAACTATGAACAACCAGACTGCAAACAGCTGATAGTGTAAATAAACAGAAAATGTCATGGTTTAACTCGAGTGGGACATGGATGTTTTATTGCCAAGATTATGTTGGGAAACATACCGGAGGAGAACATAAAGTGGGGAGACTTGCTGGGTGGTTTGACGTGAGGTACTGTTGAGTGTTACCGAGTGTGGACACCTGTGGAGCAGCAGCACAGAGGCAAAGCGGTCGAGTCTTGTTGGACAATAACTGAATCTCCAGAAATAGTTTGAGACACTATACATTTCTCCATCAACAAATATACAAAATTAGATTTTAGCATTTTAATAGGCCAATATTCATGGTAAACGTAATCTTCTATAGAGGGTGCACTGATGGCTGAGGAGACATGCAATTACCTCTACAAGTGAAAATAAAATGTTTAAAGTTACAAGAAACTCCACAGCAGTGCCACAGCCATTGTAGAGTGATTAAATGGACCCTTTTACAGCCGACGTCAGCAAAAATATGCGTGCGCATTTTGGCAATGGAAGTGGCATCTTGCCCCAGACGAGTTTGCAAGCTTCAAACATCGATTTAAAACTGTTAAATATTGGGCCACTTGTGTGCTCACCTGAAAAGTCAATTGTTTCGGTTGCATGTGTGATGTTTGGCGGTTGAAGCCTTGACACAGCTCTACAAGCTCGTGCACTCCTCCATACTTCCGATGCCAAACTGCGTGCGTGCACTTTCGTACGTCGTCATAGTAATTTGTATAAAGTTGGGGTCTTAAATGTGAAATTGATTCCTAGCTAGCTAACATATTCAAAAATAGTTTTTTTCCCTTCCCATTTTTTCAGACTCATCACATCTCCCAGTCATTACTCGCAAGATCATTTTATTCAGTGTTAGCAGGCAGGCCCCCTCCCCCATGTGGATAGCAAGGTAGTTGTACACAATAAATATAAAAGTGGGGTGCTGGTGTACTTGGTGCGCCCGTCATTGTTTTCTCTTACACATGTAGGTACACAGCACATCCCTCCATCCCAACAGGTTGCCCATGAATACTGAGTGTTCGTCACCAACATCCTTCAGGCGCAGAGATTCAATGTTTAGTCCGTGGTCATTGTGTATCTGTAAGCAAGAGTTTTTTGTATTATGGCATAATTATGGTAAATGATTTTTTGTTCATTGTACAAAATGTAGAAAAGTTGTTTAAAGCCGTTTTATAGAGACGAGCAGTAGAAGTTGTTTCACTATAAGTTAGCTAATTCACTTGGAAATGAATAGTTTCCTCTCTACAATTGAATGCCCCATTTTCTAATCCCCGTGGCACGTCTGTCATTTCCATCCGTGACATCAAAAGCAGTGCTCGTGACATTATGTTATCAAATGTGCGGACGTTTGAGAGAAACGGAGCATGTGTGTGACGCGAGTATGTCATTAGCAGTAATGTTACAGCTGTGAACGTAGCAGCGCAGTGTGTGTACAGTTTAGCTATCGTGAATAATGCTACAACTCCGCAACACTCAAGTAAGTCCCCGTGCATAATAAAAGTGATTATTTTATTGGTTGGCTTGTTTTTAATGCGCATTCGAAATTCCTAGAAATCAAAACAGCTGCGGGAAAAAAAACGCACTGCTAATAAGAAAGTTACTGATTTGGTGTGGATCGGCTCACAGATAGATGTGTTCAAATGTATTAATGGATTTGGGGTTTGGTCTGAAAAGACTTTAAGACATAAAACCGTTACTACTTGGTCTTACCCGGTTCAGGTCCAGTCAGCAGTTCTTCATGCCTGAACATCCACCAGCTCAGGAGGCATGGGGGACTTGGGGTGTTTGCTCTCAAAGTGCTGCTTAAAGGTCTTGGGGTCGGGCATCTGGGTCTGAAAAAAACAACAGAATCATGGTTTCAATTTATTTTATGGCAACAAATTAGAACTGAAATTTTAATTAATTTAATCCAGTTTTTCTCAATTATTCACACACCAACACATGAGACACAATGACCACAACCCGTAAGTCATGAACCAACTCTGCTTAAATACAATGACATGTCCTGCATGTACACTGAGATTGTAGTTCTGAACCACGTTTTTTTAAAAAAACAATACACAATTCTCGACTCAATCTTCACAAAGAACATTTTACATAGAAAACAATGCCTTTCAAAAAGCTAAACCTAGCTACCCTACTACCCACTCTGACTCCTCACACGGGCAAACACATATTTAACAATTGTTCATTAAGCAACCAGAGCTTCAGCAATAAAAGGGCCCCGGGTGAGCTCGAGGAGAAGGAGAAGGAAGAAGAAGAGCGACGAAGGACATAGGAAAAAGCTATAGTCTCTGAGGACATTCGGGTCACTTTGGTTTAACAATGAGCAGGTTCACAGTATGTAAGGTAAGGAATCTACTCTCATTATTGAATGTGGAACTGTAGAAAAATGTACTGTATACAGTAAAAACTGGATGAGGCTGTTTGGGTCTAGCCACAGCGCCTCAACATCACCAGCATTGTTCCTAATGTCATATATATATATAAAATATATT